GTCACTCAGCTTCGCATTCGCCACCCTGTACTCGCTACCTCTGGAATTCTGTTTATGTTGAATATTACATTCCCCTTACTGTTTAAACCAGTGGTGTTGAACTTTTGTTACTTGTAGTCAAAAACATGTATGGAATAAGTAAATATAAAGAAAATAAAAAGTATTTATTCCAGCAGCCAGACAGAATTGTGATCATCATTTTAGTGTGTTACGTTTAGTGTAGTTTTTTTCCTACATATATTTTCAGCAAACGAGAAACCTTTCAGTGTTTGTGTGTGTGTCTACATGTGTATATGGTTTGTTTGCAGTTTGATTTTTGTTTGTTTTCTTTTGCATTGTTGAACATCCTGCAAAAGATGATTTAATGATTTATATTATATTTACACCATAATTTATATAGCCATGCTACCGTTTCTGACATTCGTGTTTACTGATTTGGAGTTATTATATACTTGGTGAACCACTAAGTACATAAATATTCCTAACCAAAACAAACAAAAAAAAATTATGACCCTTCCTTCACCACCAGCACCGTCTGGTATCCCGTTGCCAGGAGTGTGGATAAATCTAGAATCTTAGTCCTCTTGAGGACTATGACAGTATATATTGTACACATTCAGAATACCAGGACTTTTTTGTTTTGTTTTGAGACAGCATCTGGCTCTGTCACCCCAGCTGGAGTATAGTGGCACAATCACAGCTCACTGCAGCCTTGACCTCCTGGGCTCAAACCATCCTCCCACCTCAGCCTCCCAGGTAACTGGGACCACAGGCATGCGCCACCACATCTGGCTGAATTTTTAATTTTTTGTAGAGACAGAGTCTCACTATGTTGCCTAGTCTTGAACTCCTGAGTTCAAGCAATCCTCCTACCTCAGCCTTCCATAGTGCTGGGATTACGGGTGTGAGCCACTATGCCCAGCCCAGCCACTAGTACTTTTGGAATCAGTAATTCCACTGCTACGACTTTTTTTTTTTTTTTTTTTTTTTTTTGAGACAAGAGTCTGGCTCTTGTCGCCCAGGCTGCTAGGATTTTATACTGAGAAGTAATCAGATGTTCACAGGATAGATAGATAGATAAATGATAGATAGGTAGATAGATAGATACAAATAGATATCGATATATAAGCACACACAAGTTTATTTGTTGCAATATTATTCATAAAATTAGATATTACATTCCCAGGCCGGGCATGATGGCTCACACCTGTAATCCCAGCAGTTTGGGAGGCCGAGGTGGGTGGATCACGAGGTCAGGAGTTCCAGACCAGCCTGGCCAAGATGGTGAATCCCCGTCTCTACTAAAAATACAAAAATTTGGCCGGGCACGATGGCTCATGCCTGTAATCCCAGCACTTTGGGAGGCCGAGACGGGCGGATCACAAGGTCAGGAAAATGAGACCATCCTGGCTAATACGGTGAAACCCTGTCTCTACTAAAAATACAAAAAATTAGCTGGGCGTGGTGGCGGGCGCCTGTAGTCCCAGCTACTAGGGAGGCTGAGGCAAGAGAATGGTGTGAACCCAGGAGGCAGAGCTTGCAGTGAGCCGAGATCGTGCCACTGCACTCCAGCCTGGGCAACAGAGCGAGACTCCGCCTCCAAAATAAATAAATAAATAAATAAAATACAAAAATTAGCCGGGTGTGGTGGTGGGTGCCTGTAATCCCAGCTACTTGGAAGGCTGAGGCAGGAGAATCGCTTGAACCAGGGAGGCTGAGATTGCAGTGAGCCGAGATCATGCCACTGTACTCCAGCCTAGGCAACAGAGTGAGACTCTATCTCAAAAAAAAAAAAAGAAAGAAATTACATTCCCAAAATAGGAGGCTGGTTATATAAATTATGATATATTCACACAAAAGAGTACTGAAGATGATGTTTTAGAAAAATATTGAATGACATGGGAAGAGCCTCACAATGTATTGCTAAGTGAAAAAGCAAATTATAGAATGGTGTGAATATAGCATGCTAGCCATTTAGAATGAACCCAAGCTACTATTTTTAAGTGTGTATTTGCATATTTTTAAAAATTTTTTTAAAAATCAAATGTTAAGTGGTTGTGCTTAGATATTGGGAGGGCAGGTCATTTATATATTCTATATATTTACCTAATTTTTCATGATAAACACTCACTGGCTTTATAATCAAGGAAAAAAAAGGTTGCAGATAAACATATTTGCCCTGTGCAATAGGGACCCTCCTACCCCACCTCAGCCTAGCATCAGCTGCACCTCCCTGGCCATTTTCTTCCCACCCAACCCTGCCCCCTGCGTGGGTTCCAGATCCTTCTCTCTCCCCGATCTCTGTGCAATCCCTGAACACATCCTTTGCTCTGTCTTCATCCTCCCCTCCTGCTGCCTTCCTCGGGCCTCTCGACAGGCCTTGGGGCTCTGCCTCCCTTCCTCTCAGACCCTCTCTGGCTGTGTCCTTGCCCCATCTTCCTCTCCACTCAGCCCTCTGTGGCCAGGCGATGACTTCCAGAGGGTATTTCTGCCAAGACCACAGATGACCTTCCAGTTTCCAACCCCGAGGACACTCAGGGCACATTGTCCCCGCTCTTTCAGTTGCCGGCTGCTGACCCCTCCTGGGAGTCATTCCACCCCAGTCCCCATGCGCTGGCCTCGGCCTCCCTCGGCCTCTTACCCCCTTCCTCTCCAGAGGCCCCATTGAAGGCCCTCACTCCATCCTGCCTGTTCCCTAGTTTCCACTACTCACTGATGACACCCATACTCAGCCCAGATATGTCCCTACAGCACCCCCAATTCAGCATTTCCTAGACCAACACACCTGCCATCTGAGTCCCCTGCTGCAGGGCATGGCATGAGTGCCCACAAACAGCCAAGCCAAGGTCCAGCAGGTTTGCACGCTCCTCCCACCCCGTCCTGCCCGCCACCAGCCTTCATGGCTCGGGGAGGTCCTCCTAACAGTGCTCCCTGCCACCGTCCACCTTCCACAACCGTGGACGGAATGATCTTTCTAGCAGGGAACGTCATTCCTTTGGTTCTCCATTACTTGGGGTTCAAGTTTAAATTCTGGCCTTACAGGATGCTTCTCAATTGACACCCCTGCCACAAGCATCAGAGCCCCCCAGGACACCCTGCCCCCTCCACGCTACTGTCGCACAGGTCTTTTCAGGAAAGGGAGGTAGGGGGCATCCATATTTTCTGACTTTTTACATCTTTCTGTAACAATGCAGCACAAATATATATATGTATACACACACACACCATATATAGATGCATAGATATTTTTCCCCTCTTCACCTTGCTCATGGTGTTACTTCTGCTGGAAAACCTTCCCTCTTCTGGCACCTGGCAAACCCCAACTCAAGAGTTCAAAACCGAGTTGGCTAGGAGTGTGGTGGCTCACGCCTGTAATCCTAGGACTTTGGGAGGCCAAGGTGGGAGGATTACTTGAGCTCAGTTCAAAACCAGCCATGGCAACACAGTGAGACCTTGTCTCTATTAAAAAAAAAAAAAAGACTGATCGCCCACCTTGGGAAGACTTTCCTGCCCACCTCAGGGTGGTTACATGTCTCCTTATCTTTGGTGTTGAGTTGAGCCACGTGAAGTTTTTTTTCTTTCTTTCTTTCTTTTTTTTTTTTTTTTGAGACAGAGTCTCACTCTGTTGCCCAGGCTGGAGTACAATGGCACAATGTTGGCCCACAGCAACCTCCACCTTCCTGGCTCAAGTGATTCTCCTGCCTCAGCCTCTTGAGTAGCTGGGACTACAGGCATACGCCACCATGTCTGGCTAATTGTTGTATTTTTAGTAGAGATGGAGTTTCACCATGTTGGCCAAGCTGGTCTTGAACTCTTGACCTCAAGTGATCTGCCCGCCTTGGCCTCCCAAAGTGCTGGGATTACAGGCGTGAGCCACCGCGCCCAGCCAGACATATGAAATTGACATTCAAGAACAGCCATTTGCAGGGCCCAGCCCTAGGTAGGCACGAGCTTGTTGCGTGCCCCCCACTGAGCCCTGGTTGGCGTAGGTGGCCCATATCTCCTTGTTGAAGGGGGAGCGAGTGCTCCGTTGCCTTACAGATAACTAGAGGGCCTTCCTCGGGGATCTGTGGTCAAGGCTGACCCAACGAGGCTGTCCCAGCCAGCTGGCCCTCGCATCTGGCTGGATCTGGTGAATGAAGCTCTCAGCGCTTGTCTGCTGGGCGAGGGTGTCTCCCCCAGCTTGGGTGCCAACATTAGACACTGCAAAGGAGCTGTTCTGCACACATCCTTTAGGTAGTGTTATAAGAAAGTAAGTTCTAGGCCAGTCACAGTGGCTCACGCCTGCAATCCCAGCACTTTGGGAGGCCACGGTGAGAGAATTGCTTGAGCCCAGGAGTTCGAGACCAGTCCTGGCAACATAGACCTTGTCTTTGCAAAAAATTAAAAAATCAGTTGAGTGTGGAGGTGCCCATCTGTAGTCCCAGCTACTCCAGAGGCTGAGATGGGAGGATCACTTGAGCCTGGGAGGTCAAGGGTGCAGTGAGCTGTGGTTGCACCATGGCACCCCAGCCTAGGCAACAGAGTGAAACCCTGTCTCTAAGGAAAAAAAAAAAAGAAAATTCTTCAGTCTTGTTCTTGGCCAACACTTGCCACGGCTGACATGACTTGTTATGTCTTCTCTGGTTGGATTCATCCCTTCATTCATATGCTTAATCCTTGGAGAAAACCAGGAGATCGGTGCCTTACGTTGTTTGCTTGAAATGTCATGGTCCCATGTCACCCAGAGTGGTAAGACATAATTGTGTGTTAGGAATACACCACGCCATGTATCACTGTGAATACAGAAGGGGGCTAACAGGAGCAAGGGGAGGCTACTGCATCACAGGGTCAGCCTCCTGGCTCCTGCCAAGACCCTTTAAAAGGTCTGATATGCTAATGATGGTTTAACAGGACTTTGAGGCGCCGCCCCCTCCTGTATTTGTGATGCTGCACAGCATTCGGCGGTCCAAATCTCCTGGCTGGCTGTACTTACTACCATTTTTCATGTTTTTCTCCAGGCTGGAAGACCATCACACACCTCCCCAGACAGCCCAACACCCCACAAACGGCCACCCGCAGGCCCTGCCAAACCCTTACGAGGCAGTCTACAGGGAGGGCAAGCCCAGCACCCCGGAGTCCCGCGTCTCCTCTTCATGTAAGAACACGGGCAGCACGTCGGGTCAGTTCTGGGACTGTGATGTCTAGAACCCACGCGAAACAGCAGCAGGAGTGGCAGACGCACACCTGCTCCTGGGAAGCCCTCTGGTGTCAGCCACAGCCCTGTGTCACAGAGGCTCACGGGATTCCCAGCCCACAGCCAGACCCACGCTGGGCTGGTCCTCTGCATCCCCTTCTCGGAGCACTGCCTGCTGTCCCGTCTGGGAGCTCCTGGGGCAAGATTTCTGACTGGTGAAAGCTGGCTTTAATATGAAACTTCAGAGGAGGAATCCCAGGCTGATGTAGCTCAGAATCCCTGGTTCTGGTAGCTCAGATTCTCGTGTAGAGGAGGCCAGCCGCCTGCTGGAAGGCTGGACCGAGGCAGAAATGTGCAACTAAAAGCACAAACAACTCTGGGATCCAAACGCGTTTGAAACTTCCAGCTGAGTTAACCAGAGGCTGATGGGAGATAAAAGTATTTTTTAGATGCCAGAAAAAATATATATGCTTTGAATCAGAAATGTACAAAGTATTTTTTTTTAATTTTTGAAAGGAAATTAAAAGGATTATGAGCAGTTCAGATAAGACTCTAATTTCCATTTGAGTAGGAAAAACAACAGAAGAACGGGGTGGATTCCTGTCTGAGAAACATCTGAGAACTTGCATCTGCTCACAATTGGATGCAGACGCTTCCAGACCCAGGTGCAGAGCAGTAGCCAGTGACGAGTCAGCAGTGGCTGGGTTATGTGGGACCCTGGGTCTCTTGGTGGTGAGCAGTTTCAGAGGTTTTGCCAGCATTGATCATCAGTTATTTTGCCCGTGCTTTACTAGAGCTGTCAATATTCGTGTGCTCTCTAAAGGTGAGCAGCTTAGTAATTTCTCCAGAGATTTCTACTGTCAGGGTGGAGGTCTTAGGGGGCGTCTAACAAGTTTTGCCAATTTGACTGAATGCCATTGAGTTAAAACTGATTTCAGATTCTTCAGCCTGGACTTCCTAAAAGGCTCCACAGTACATTCAGGGTAACGTAGCGGTAACATCCTTGCTTTACCAAAATGACCACTAAGAGGCCCTTTATTTTTGCACTGATTGGACGTGCCTTCGGGAAGCTGTCATGCTGTTACTCGCAGGGCGGAGGCACTTGAGGTTGGCATGGATGGAAATGGCCGAGGAGCGGCTGCTGCAGTGTTGATGTTATTGTTCTTTTCAAGAACAGTTTACTTTAGCCCTGACAAAGTCTGGGCCCAGACACATTCCGGGTCCTTGCATGAACAGGGTGGGCACCCTCCAGGAGACTCAGCCTTGGTGGTCATGGGTGGTTGCCAGTGCTGCTTCCTAGGGAGGCAGCAGCTGCCCACCAGCACCCCCAGTTGGACTAGCTGGAGCCAGAGCAGTGCTCTTCCCAAATCCTGCTGTCGATGCCCCCATTAACCTGCCCCAAATGCTGAGACTGTGTTCTGAGTGTCCCTTCTTCAGGCCTGCTCCTATTGGCTCAGCCTGGCTGGGACCCAGGACACTGACCCCCAGCCCTGCTCTTCTCCACCTGCCAGAGACCAGGAATAGTCGCTACCCTCCCTGGCCCTGCCAGGCCCACTCTGAGCCTCAGGCCAACACCCCTAGTCCTCCTTTTATTTTATTTTATTTTATTTTACTTTATTTTATTTTATTTTGAGACAAGGTCTCACTCTGTCCCCCAGGCTAGCGTGCAGTGGCCAATCATACATAGCTCATTGCAGCCTCACACTCCTGTGCCTAAGCGATCCTCCCACTTCAGCCTCCTGAGTAGCTGGCACTACAGATGCACCACCATGCCAGGCAAAGTGTTTTGTTTTTTTTTTTTTTCTTAATTTTTTGTAAAGATGGAATTTTTCTGTTGCCTGGGCTAGTCTTGAACTCCTAGTCTCAAGTAATCCTCCCGCCTGAGCCTCCCAAAGCACTGGGATTACAGGCATGAGCCATCATGCCTGACCCTCTTAGTCTCCTTTAAAATCCTTTTACTTGACAAAAAGTTCTTCCTTTGGAAAAACCAAGCCCCAGGTGAAGTTTCCTCTAGGTCATGAGTAAGCCTTTGCCATGCCTGGAGTAGATTCCCATTCTGAGTTACTTTCTTTCGGACAGGCCTGCCCACGGCCTGCTGCGTCTCCCCGGTTGGCCTCCCTGCCCCTCTCCCTATCCTGTCACCTGCCTCTGCCTAAGGGATAGATGGCAAACAGGCCTCTGCTCCTGTGCCCCGTCTGGGCTCTGCAGATAAGGGGACTGCGATTAAGCCCGTTAAGCCAGGGGATGAGTGATGTGGAGGGGGATGAGCATCAGGGAGAGCAGAGAGCGGGCAGTGCTGGGCTGGGCGTGGGCACCCCTGAGCCACACTGCCTTCTGTTTCATTCCTTCCCTGCTCAGGAGCTTGCTCTGACTTCCTCCAGACAGTCCTGCTTCTCCATCCCTCCCCTCCACTTCAATTGATTGATAGATTGATTGATTGATTGATTGATTGATTGTAGAGAGAGGTGTCTCTCTGTGCTGCCCAGGCTAGCCTTGAACCCCTGGGCTCAAGCGATCCTCCCACCTCAGCCTCCCGAAGTGCTGGGATTACAGGCATGGGGCCCCCTCCACTTCCCTTCTCTCGCTCACCTTGCCCCAGGCCCATCCTGGCCCCAGGCAGTACTCCCCACAGGTCTCCTTGCACACAGCTCGCTGCTGAGTCTGGCCTGTGCTGGGAACTAACGCTCTACCCAGAGACCCCATGGAAACCCCCACCTTCACGTTGAGTTTCTTGAGCAAGAGCCTTTGTGCTTTGCGTTCAGTCAGCACCGCAGGGAAAACTCATGAGGGGGAACCTGTTGGACCCTCAGACTGCTTGATCGGTTGAACGCAGGGCCAGAAAGAACATTCTAGGCAAAAGACTCAGCCCCAAATGCCAAGAGGAAATAGTTCCCAAGGGAAAAGGCCAATAATATGGCTTAGCATTTTGCAAAACATTGGCCTGAGGAAAGCTATTCTCATTTCCCCACCAACCGGGACTATCTTCAATATCAAAATCACATGCCTTGGGACTTCATAGCCCTGGGAGTTAAAATGCCCAGCCCTGTCTGAAATGGACCAGCAGGCAAGAGATACTACTGTCCCAGGAAGCCCCCGGTGCACCCCCATGGCTGCCCCCTCTCCTGGCTCCTGGCTCTCTTCGTTAGGGAGTCTCTTGTTCTTTTTTTTTTTGAGATGGAGTCTCGCTCTCTCGCCCAGGCTGGAGTGCAGTGGTGCGATCTTGGCTCACTGCAAACTCCGCCTCCCAGGTTCAGGTGATTCCTCTGCCTCACCCTCCTGAATAGCTGGGATTACAGGCATGTGTTACCATACCAGGCTAATTTTTGTATTTTTAGTAGAGACAGGGTTTCGCCATGTTGGCCAGGCTGGTCTCAAACTCCTGACCTCAAGCTGCCTGCCTCAGCCTCCCAAAGTGCTAAGATTACAGGCATGAGCCACTATGCTTGGCTGGTCTCGGTGGGACCTCTGAAAGTCTGCAGTGTGTCCTGTGCTGGAGGAAGTAGGAGAGGAGAATGGGACAGTTGAACCAAGACCACCTCATGGTCTCAGGACACTCCAGCTCAGTTCCTCCTTTTTATGACCACCCTGTCCCCTACCCTCACACGCCCTGGGAAGCTCCTGATCCTGGTCCTAGAGGACTTGCCTGACGTGGGCACAGCTTTGTGACTCCACACGTTGTAATGGGGTTCCCCTGCGTGTAGCCCAGCAATTCAGTGTGACTTCACTCAAGTATTCTCTTGTACACCTATGCTTTGTCTCCTGGCCTTATTCTAAGCACATTGAGCAGGTGCCACCTGTCCTGAAGCTCTATTTCTAGACCCAGATACAGGTGGAGACCGCCCAGTGCCACCCGCTGGGTTCTGGTATCAGAAATAGATTCTCGTTTGGGTCAAAAGAGAATTATCTGGAAGTCAAAGCCCCTTGCTACAGGGAAACCTGCAGGGAAGATCCCTTTATATTTAAGATTAAATAGATCACATTGCAAAGCTGCAGAGCTGCTTCTAAAATGAAAGAGCTGAGAGGAGCTTGGCCTAAGGGAGTTGCGGATGCAGCCTCTGTCACAGTCACTGCAGCAGTGACATGGCCCCCCTCAGCTGTAGGAGAAGAGGAGAGGTGGGGTGGGAGAAGGGGTACGTGGCATCTGAGATGCAGGAACATCTGTCTCCAGGCCATTGGGGAGCCCTCCATATGCTATGATGCTATCTAGGATTCTCCATCTGCTTCCCCGTGAAGGGCTCCTGTGTATCCCAGGTGGCCTGGTTCCGGGTGGGCATTAGCTACGTCACCAGTCATTGGGAGTGAGGGCACTTCCTGGCCACCCCGGGTGTACTTAGGGGTTCAGCATTAAGGAGCCTTGGGCTGCTCAGTGAGGAGCACCCTACCTCTCAGGTTGTTGGTTTTAGCAGATAAAACTACACGCCACCCAGTTACATTTGAGTTTCAGATAAGCAAATGTGCCTCCACGTTTCATCCGGAGGTGCGTAGCCATGGCCCAGGGAGACAATTCGTCGTTCTGAGGGCTTTCCAGAGGCTGAGGGGTGCCAGGAAGGCTGAGCGGCCCGGGTGATCTGCACCTCCCTGGGCCCTGCCTGTTGCCGCCAGCAGTGTGCCTGCCATCCCCCGCTGCCTGGCAAGTTCCCGGGCTGCACGAGTAAACAAGTATCCCAAGCCACAGGCGCCAGGGAGCCCGCAGGGCCTGGCCTGGGGTGTGTGCTTTTCTTGGCTTTCCAGCCCAGCCCAGGAGAGGGCATCCTTAGAGGGGCTCCACAGCAGATGTGGACTGAACTTTCTCTCCTCCTCCCCAGCAGCCATCAACGCCAAGCCAGGAGAGTGGCTCCCAAGAGCACGCCAGGAGGAGCCTCACCCGGCCCCCACGGGGAACTCCCACCAGCCAAGGGAGGTGCCCCAGGACCCAGGCAGTGGAGAGACCACCAGGTAAGGGGGATGTCACTAGACCTCGAACCTTACTCTCGGTGCTCTGGGAGTGGGTGCCCCACGCCGGATGCAGAGCACCCAGGAGACCTGGAAGGCTCCTCTGAGGCCCACGATCTGATAGGGGAAGCCAAGGAGCAGCGTCAAGATTCCTGGTGAAGTGCAGCTGCCACTCCTGGCCACCCTCAGAGGGCTGTGCTGCCTGAGAGCCGTCAGTCAGACGGGAAGGACACGGCACTCAGAAGCATGCCCACAGGACCAGTTTTCAGAACTGCCAGGCGGACATATCTGGGGCTGTGTGATGGGGTGACTTAAGGACAGTGTCCTGTCTTAGCTTTTTGCATTTGGAGGAGGTGGGCTGGAGGGCAGAAAGATGGAGAAGGAGGTGAGTAAATGGTTTGGCTCAGAGGTCACTTCCTGAAACAGAAACTGGGCCTCCAGGCCGGGGCATGGTGGCACACGCCTGTAATCCCAGCACTTTGGGAGGCAGCAGGAGGATTGCTTGAGCCCAGGAGTTGGAAACTAGCCTGGGCAACATAGTGAGACCCTGTCTCAAATAAATAAATAAATAAATAAATAAATAAATGAAAAAAAAGAAGAAGAAACTGGACCCCCAAGCAGAAGAAAACCAAAACAGTGTCCTCTCTTCCACTGTACCATGTGAGCACAGACTGGCCCTGTGGGTTATTAGGGCTTCTTTAGGGTCTAGAAAGGACCTTTCCAATCTCGCCAGCTCTTTCTTTTGGATCTGGAGAAACCTGTTCAGGGAGAGGGGCCTGGCCTGGGTTTCAGACGCTGCCTGTCCCTGACCACCAGGCACGCCAGCTGCCTCTCACCACTTCCTCCTGGCCATGAAGGAAGCCAACCTCCTGCGGTGAAATACGGGGCTGGAGCAGGCTCAGCTTAGTTCTGGGGGCCCCGGGAGAGGACAGGCAGGAAGACTGAGCAGAACCTGCACCCACTGGTGGAGAAAATCAGAGAGCAAGAAAGAGGCAGGAGGAGAAATCAATGGGGAGTGGCAGACAGGAGGAGGATGCAGGAGAAAGGGGGTGCAGACGAGTGTGCTGAGCTTCCTTGGGTGGGGATGGGCTAGAAGCCAAAATTGGAACTGTGGGAAGGATGGGAAGGACTTTAGGACCTGGGCTAGGGAAGGGTGGGGACAGTCCTGGCTAAGAAGCAGAGGTGTCAAAGGTGGCCGCATTACTGGGGGAGGGGCCAAGCCTCTGGTCTCCTCCAGTCCCACTGCCAACCTGCCTGGGGACCCAGGGACCCACCTCCCCTACCTGGGCCTCCCCTCTCTCTGTGGCTGAAGAGGAGCTCATCTGCCAGACCAGGGGTTCTCAGGTTCTCAGCATCCCCCTGAAATGGGGATTCAAAATGAGAGACCGCTGAGGGGTGGGCCAAAGCTCTCTCATGCTGCCAGTCCAGACTGGATCCTCCCCTGCGGTTCAGCCAGGCCAAACGTGCCCTTCCGCTGTAGGCCGCTTCTTTTTACTTCCTGCAAATGCTGAGTTCATTTCTGAGGCTCTCCACTGGGACAGCCCTCTCTCCCCAGAAATAACTGTTTTCACAGCAGGTAGGCAGCCGACCCCGAGAGACCTCATTACAGCAAGCAGGGTTGCCTAACTGGCCCCCCAACATTCTGTTGGGCACAAAGACCCCTCAGGGTCCAGCCTAGAGGTGCCCTCCCCTTGGTGTCAGTCACTAAAGCCAGCTCTCATTGTAAGCCTGGGGGTTCAGTGTGAGGAAGAATAGGATGGAAAGAGAGAGAAGTATAAGTTGTTCCATCTCCCCCTTCCTCCCTCACTAGCAACATCATCTGGAATATTACGGCATTCTAGATGAGAGATATATATATACCTCATATGTATGTGGTATACCTCATCTAGAATGCCATAATATTCTAAATGATAAGAAGCCATCTCTTGTCAGGCTGACTTCAGCCCCAATTCAGGTCTCAGCTAAGCATCCCTTCCTCCTGCCTGACCCCAAAGTGCGGGTCACGCCCTTCTGCCAGGCTCACGGGAGCCAGAGTCCCTCTGTGAGACTGTGGGGAGACCCCACTGTGTTGTCATGTGGCTGCCTCTCACTGCCTCAGAGACAAGCACAGTGTCCAGGGCATAGAGAGTGTGCAGGGCCTGCTGGGTGTACGGGGAATGTAGGGCATGCAGGAGTGTGCACAGTGTGCAAGGTATTCAGGAAGTGCATGGCTGCAGGGAGTGTGCCAGGAGCGCAGGAAGTGCATGGCTGCAGGGAGTGCGCCAGGAGCGGCGCAGGAAGTGCATGGCTGCAGGGGAGTGTGTACCAGGAGGCGCAGAAGTGCATGGCTGCAGGGGGTGCGCCAGGAGGCGCAGGAAATGCGTGGCTGCAGGGAGTGTGCCAGGGCAGAGGAAGTACGGGACTGCAGGGAGTGTGCCAGGAGTGCAGGAAATGCAGGGCTGCAGGGAGTGTGCCAGGAGCGCAGGAAGTGCATGGCTGGGAGTGTGCCAGGAGCGCAGGAGGTCATGGCTGGGAGTGTGCAGGAGCGCAGGAAGTGCATGGCTGCAGGGAGTGTGCCAGGAGCGCAGGAAGTGCAGGGCTGCAGGGAGTGTGCCAGGAGCGCAGAGTGCAGGGCTGCAGGAGTGCCAGGAGCGCAGGAAATGCATGGCTGGGAGTCGCCAGGGCCTTAGGAAGTGCAGGGCTGCAGGAGTGTGCCAGGAGCGCAAATGCATGGCTGCAGAGTGCGCCAGGAGCGCACTAGAAGTACAGGGCTGCAGGGGAGTGTGCGGGCGCAGAAATGCGTGGCTGCAGAGTGTGCCAGGAGCACAGGAGTGCAGGGCTGCAGGGAGTGTGCCAGGGTGCAGAAATGCAGGGGCTGGGGAGTGTGCCAGGAGTGCAGGAAGTGTGCCAGGAGTGCAGGAAATGCAGGGCTGCAGGGAGTGTGCCAGGAGTGCAGGAAGTGCAGGACTGCAGGGAGTGCACCAGGAGTGCAGGGAGTGTGCGCTGTGCTCCTGTGCCTGGCCTAGGTGGTCAGAGTACCTGTTGATGAACAAGTGGGAGAAAGGGAGAAAGATTGGTTCTCTATGTGGCTTTGGTGGGGAACGTTTGTCCCCTCAACTTCCCTGAGCTCTGTTCTCTTGCTCTTTCAGGTGAGGTCTCACACCCAGAAGAAGAATTGCTAGATGGGCAGGAAGCCCCTGGGACAGTGGGACCCTGGGTCAGTGGTAGACTGAATGATGGCACTGGTTACTTAGCTCAGCTTTCAGGTGTTTTAAGGCTAATGGCCACTCAAGCTCTGCTCCAGTGAATTCCAGCAACTGTCTTGCTGTAAAATTGCTTTCTTGGAGGCTGGGGAATAAAAGTCCAGACCTGCCAGGCGTGGTGGCTCATACCTGTAATCCCAGCACTTTGGGAGGCCGAGGTGGGTGGACCACGAGGTCAAGAGATAAAGATCATCCTGGCCAACATGATGAAACCCTGTCTCTACTAAAAATACAAAAATTAGCTGGGCGTGGTGGCACGTGCTCGTAGTCCCAGCTACTCGGGAGGCTGAGGCAGGAGAATCGCTTAAACCGGGAAGCCGAAGTTGCAGTGAGCCGAGATTGTGCCACTGCGCTCCAGCCTGGATGACAGAGTGAGACTCTGTCTCAAAAAAAAAAAAAGAAAAAGCCCAGACCCTACAATCGTACTGCCTTCCCCCAACCCCATGGTGAAATTTTCCTTTTCCTTGGTCAGCTTCTTAGACTCCTTAGATTAAGTAGCAGGAGAAAACTAGTGTTGATCAGGCTTTAAAGATGTATTTAAATTAAGAAAGAAATGCATTTATCCTGCGAAGAGCCCAAGTGCTCCCCACGAAGTATGTCAGTCCACAGAGGCTGACTTGTGCCCCGGAATGGCAGGGCTGCCTTGACTGTCACCTGTCGGTCCTTCTCAGCATGGCCCTGCCACTCCGGAAGAGCAGCCCCAGCCAGGTGCCGGTGCTTGTGCCTGGAAGTTCACCTCCACGTGGCCTGAGGACAGGTGAGGGAGGGGGCTCTGTCTGAGGAGCTCCTTGCACCCAGGCCCAGGACACAATCAGAAGCAAATGTCAAAGATCCTGTCCTGCCACAGATGAGAAGTGATTATTTTGCAAGTGCTATGACTTTTTTAAAATGAGAAGAGATTGTACATATGTCTACATGTATGCCTTTCCCCTCACATTTGTCCCTGAGGATGGACAGCAGCTCCCAGTGACACATTCATGCATCCAGCTAAAGAAACAACACATGCTCACGCCTGTAATCCCAGCACTTTGGGAGGCCGAGGCGGGCGGATCCCCTGAGGTCCAGGAGTTTGAGACTAGCCTGACCAACATGGTGAAATCGTGTCTCTACTAAAAATACAAAAATTAGCCAGGTGTGGTGGTGCATGCCTGTAATCCCAGCTACTTTGGAGGCTGAGGCAGGAGAATCGCTTGAACCCATGAGGCGGAGGTTGCAGTGAGCCAAGATCGTGCCACTGCACTCCAGCCTGGGTGACAGAGCGAGACTGTGTCTCAAAAAAAAAAAAAGAAAAACGACACATGAAGCCTCAGGAGGCCGAGGAGCTTGAGACGTGTTGCCCAATGTGTGCCCACGGCACGGGAGCTATGTGTGCAGCTGGTTCCTGTCTGCCTTTATCTGGTGTACTCTGTTCTGGCCCGTTTCCCCACCTCTGCCCCTTTCTGGGTTTTCTCATCACCCAGATGAAATGTCCGCAGCAATAACTGAGAGCCGGTTATGAACCCTCTGGGCAGAGTCGCCTAGGGGCCCTGAATGCTTTTGTTTGGCCTTAATGCAAACAGAAGGGACACAGGATCCTCTGCTGGGTGATGCTCAGCAGCCGGATTATGACTCAGCAGCATTCCAAACACAGGGAAAGATTCAGCATCTCCCGAGGCATGTTATGGCTCTTCCCTCTCAACACAATGTTCCTGTTGATAAGCTGAGATCCCATAAGGGCCAGGCTGCTCTAATAAACAATCACCTACCTTATAGAGCACCTCCCAACTTTCCCGTATATCACCCTTTACGTTTTTGCCAGGACCCAGTCCCATGCGTTTCTGCGGCACATGACTTCCCGTATGTCATAGGTGACTGCCGTCCTGGACTTCCTTTCCACGTGGTTTCTCTGCTCTGCCCTAATCTGGCCTCATCTCGGGCCAGACCAGCACCGTTTCCTGGCCCTGGCTCCTGGCTGCCTCCAGGCTGCTGAGCTCACCATGCTGGGGGGATGGCGGGCCCTGAGGCCACCGGGGGCTCAGCTGACACTTACCAACAGCCATCTACCCCACCTCCCACTGCATCCTTCCCAGAGCGGCTGGAGCGTCCAATGACAGGGGCCGAGCCTGCTAGGTCCACACAGGCATTGCCTGCAGCAGCCCCCAAGGTGGTCAGACTGCCTCACGGGGTGGGCTCTGCCAGGCCAAGGGGCAGCTCCCTGATGCTCTGCTAAGGGCCACTTTCTTTTTTTTTTTAAACGAAGTCTCGCCCTGTTGGCCAGGAGTGCAATGGTGTAATCTCAGCTCACTGCAACCTCCACCACCTGGGTTCAAATGATTCTCCTGCCTCAGCCTCCCGAGTAGCTGGGATTACAGGCATGCGCCACCACCCGCAGCTAATTTTTGTATTTTTAGTAGAGACGGGGTTTCACTATGTTGGCCAGGCTCGTCTCGAACTCCTGACCTCAGGTGATCCACCCACCTCGGCTTCCCAAAGTGCTGGAATTATAGGCGTGAGCCACCACGCCTGGCCACGAGGGCTATTTTCTCCAGTGCCAGTGGGAGGGGCCAGCCAGTAGGAGCCCCAGTCTGAGGAGGCTCATTCCCACCCCTCACAGCCATGTCCTAGGGAGAGGGGGGCAGGCTTAAGGTATATTAGTTAGGACTCTCCAGGGAAGCAGAGAGGCTGATTTTAGGGAATTGGCTCATGTGATTGGAGAGGCTTGGCAAGTGCAAAATCTGATGGGGTAGGCCAGCAGGCTGGAGAGTCAGGGGAGAGTTGCAGTTCAGGTCCAAAGGCCACCAGCTGGCAGAACCCCTTCTTGCTCAGGGAATGCCAGTCTTTTTCTGTTGTGGCCTTCAGCTGACCGGATGGGGCACTCATGTTATGGAGGGTGATCTGCCTCACTCAGAGCCCACTGATTTAAACGTTCATCTTGTCCAAAACAGAACTTCACAGAAACATCTAGAATAATATTTGACTGAATATCTGGGCACCATGGCCCAGCCAAATTGGGCCACCATGCCTGGCCCATAAAAATAACCATTATGGGCCAGGCATGGTGGCTCATGCCTGTAATCCTGGCACTGTGGGAGGCCAAAGTGGAAGGATCTCTTGAGGCCAAGAGTGTGAGGCCAGCCTGGGCAACATTAGCGAAACCCTACCTCTAAAAAAATAATAAAATTTTAAAAATTGGGCCAGCCGCGGTGGCTCGTGCCTGTAATCCCAGCACTTTTGGGAGGCCGAGGTGGGTGGATCACGAGGTCAGGAGATCAAGACCATCCTGGCCAGCGTGGTGAAAACCCTGGCCAGGGTTTTCTACTAAAAATACAAAAATTAGCCGGGTGTGGTGGCATGTGCCTGTAGTCCCAGCTACTCGGGAGGCTGAGGCAGGAGAATCGCTTGAACCAGGGAGGTGGAGGTTGCAGTGAGCCAAGATCACGCCACTGCACTCCAGCCTGGATAACAGAGCGAGACTACGTCTCAAAACAAAACAAAGCAAAACAAATTTTAAAAAATTATTTGTAATGACCATCACATAAGGACTTTGATACCCAGTGCCAAATTGCTCTCCAAAAAGACGGTGTCCTCTTCCGGTTATCCTTGGGGTGGGAGGTCACGTAGTCCTGGGCCCTGCTGCCCAGGCTTTCGCTCCCTGGGCTTCTTGTTGACTCGCCTCAGCTGACCCTGACCCTGCAACTTGACCTTGCTGCCCATTGGCTTTAAGGCACCCTATGGAAGCCGGTTATCCCTCCTGGACTTGCAAAGCCAGCTCCTCCAACCCTGGGGGCCCTGGCTGCCTTTGAGGGCTGCCTCCCAGGCTAGCTGGTGCTGGCTGCCCTGCCCGCAAGACCATGTGGTGGTCCTGGGGCTAACCCAGCACTAACCCCTGCCCTTACCACTGCTGGGAATAGTACCGCTATTCATGTGAGTCATTTTTACTAGGTTTTCTGTTGTTCCTTCTTAAAATATGGCAGGGCTACACTTAAAAATGCTAAAGATGGTAAATATTGTGGATATTTTACTACAATTTAAAATAAGTTAACTGGCCGGGCGCCCTGGTGGCTCATACCTGTAATCCCAGCACTTTGGGAAGCAGAGGTGGGTGGATCACCTGAGGTCAGGAGTTTGAGACCAGCCTGGCCAACATTGTGAAACCCCGTCTCTTCTAAAAATACAAAAATTAGCCGGGTGCGCTAGTGCATGCCTGTAATCCCAGCTACTCGGGAGGCTGAGTCACAAGAACTTGAACCCAGGAGGCGGAGGTTACAGTGAGCCGAGATCGCACCATTGCACTCCAGCCTGGGCAACGAAAGCAAAACTCCATTTCAAAAAAAAAAAAGATAAATTAAAATAAGTTAACTATTATAATAATGACACAAAATGTCAAAATATGAATAGTAAAACATAAAAATTTGAACCAAATAATATTAAAACACCACATTTGATGGTTACATACATTATACTTGCATCAAAATATCACACTATACCCCATAAATATGTACAATTATGTATCAGTTTAAAAAAGAAAGAAGCCACCTCACTAGACCATGTACAAAACTCCTTTGTATGTGTAAACACATCAGCAAAGCTTTCATGTAATGATTTGACAACCCAGTTCCCTGGTCAGATAGCCCCGTGTATCTGTGAACTCATCCCATCAGGAGATGCATCCTGATCTCTGATCCCCAGCCCCTAGCAGAATTCTCAGCACCCATGAGCTCTATCAATGAACGAAAGAAAAGCAGAGCATCCATTCATTAAATCCGAGTATATAAATCAGAAGAAATAATACCCAACTCTTATAAATGCTAACGACAGTCTGTGTGGACGTGTGGAGAGGGTGGGGTGAGACTCATAAAAGCAGAGTGGTAACAGGAGCCTGTTACTATACCTACAAGTAAGCAACAATGTCACATAGGCAAAAGGTAGAATGTGGAAAATATTTAGGGGAGTAGCGTTATGAGTGATACAAAAATTTTAATTTTTGAGACAGGGTCACACTTTGTTGCCCAGGTTGGAGGGCCGTGGTGTGAACAAGGCTCACTGCAGCCTTGACCTCCCAGGCACAAGTGATCTTCCTGCCTCAGCCTCCCAAGTAGCTGGAACTACGGGCACGTACCACCATGCCTAGCTAATTTTTGTATTTTTTTTGTAGAGATGGGATTTCGCCATGTTGCCCAGTCTAGTCTCGAACCCCTGAGCTCAAGCGATCTACCTGTCTCGGCCTCCCAAAGTGCCGGGATTACAGGCATGAGCCACCACACCCAGCTATCTTACAATTAAAAAATAATAATAATAGGGCTAAATCCCTACTATACTTTTGAACCTAGTTTGAAGACTTCTTACCTAAAAAGTATAAGCAGTTTGTATACCACTGTTTTCCAATTTGGATTTGGAGACTTTTCAGATGTAAGTATTATTTTAAAAATTATTTTGTGTGTGTGTGTGTGTGTGTGTGTGTATTTTTTTTTGTTTTGTTTTTGAGGCAGAGTCTCACTCTATCGCCCAGACTGTAGTGCAGTGGCACAATCTTGGCTCACTGCAACCTCCACCTCCCGGGTTCAAGTGATTCTCCTGTCTCAGCCTCCTGACTAGCTGGGACTACAGGCATCTGCCACCATGCCTGGGTGATTTTTGTAGTTTTAGTAGAGATGGGGGGGGGGTCTCACCATATTGGTCAGGCTGGTCTCCAACTCCTAACCTCAGGTGATCCACCTGCCTCAGCCTCCCAAAGTGTTAGATTACAGGTGTGAGCCACTGTGCTTGGCCAGTTTCTTTTTTCTTTTCTTTTTTTTTTTTTTTTTTTTTGGAGACAGAATTTGGCTCTTGACGCCCAGACTGGAGTGCAATGGTGCAGTCTTGGCTCACTGCAACCTCCTCCCAGGTTCAAGGGGTTCTCCTGCCTCAGCCTCCTGAGGAGCTAGAATTACAGGCACCCACCACCCCGTCCAGCTAATTTTTGTATTTTTAGTAGTGATGGGGTTTCACCATGTTGGCCACGCTGGTCTCGAACTCCTGACCTCAGGTGATTCATCTGCCTTGGCCTCCCAGAGTGCTGGGATTGCAGGCGGGAGCCATCACATCCGGCCCCTCCTGTAGTTTCTAACACTGTGGTAGCTGGGACTCCAGGTTGCACGTTTTGTTCTAGGGAATGTGCATCAGCCTTCACCTGCAAGTCCCGGGCCCCCGGCACTCCAGAGATGCTGGACTGGAACCTACCCAAGGCAAAGGCGTCAGTTCTGGCCCCTCCGTTCTCTTCGTGTGGCCCCCAGCAGGCCAGCCACCCCGGATCCACAGCGTCCTCCACAAGGGGCCTGCCGAGTAAGTCAGCCTGGGCCCCGCTGGCATGGGAGGATGGCTACCCGCCCACCCAGAGGGAAGGCCATTTTGCTGCTGTATTTGGCCCCGTGCTCCTGTGTGTGCCAGGCCAGGCCAGAAGGGGAGAAGGCCTGCTTCCCTTCCAAACACAAACAGGCCCCAGCGGGTGGCTTTCTTTCTTCCAGGGACAGGTTCTGCATGAATCTTCCTTCCTATTAAATTCCCTTTGGCCTCAGTGACTCAAACTCAAGCTGAGGAGGGAGACCTCCAGGCAGGTCACTGAGAGAGAAGCCGCTTCCCCCCTACCCTCTATGGAGCTTATAGATTTGGCCCTGAGCTGGCCCTACTGCCCTGGGGTTAGCCCTGACACTCAGACCTGCCCTGGAGGAAGGTGGTCCAGCCCCTGGTCCAGCCGCTGTGTCCCTGCCTGGCCCAGCCTGTCAGGCCACCCCCATGTCAAACAGAAGTGGGTGTCTGCTCACAGGCTGGATGGAGGGGCTGTCAGAGGGCCTGCAAATGGGATGGGCCCAAGGGCCCCACTCTCTCCCTGGGGCCTCCCTCTCACCCTCTCACCTGAGGCTCACTATAAGGACAACTTTGTCTTTCTCTGTCGCCTTCCAGCCTCTGCCAGTTGATAGCCCCTCCACCTCCACGCCCCAGCTGAGCTGAACCTTTCTAGAGGGCTTTACCAAAACTCAGGGGAAACAAAAGGACAGAACAAAAGAAGGTCAGGCAGGATGAAAGGGGTCCCGCTCAGGATATGCGCATTTCTGTGGCCGCCCCCAGCCCGCCCCACCCCACTACCTTCCTGGCCGGGCCCTGGGCGCTCTGGTCAGCTGGGGACATGCTGGGTTGGAAGTGGGGGTAATGGCCATGGCTGGGGAGCCAGTTTGGGACCCCTCCCACCTCCCACTGGGAAACACACCCCAAACCCCAGCTGAGCCAGCCGTAGCCCAGGTCAGGTGCAGAGGAAATGCGGCAAATCCAGGGGCGGCTCAGCCAGGAGGAAGGTGCCTCTGGGGCAGGGATCCCCAGTTCACAGCGACAGTGACACCAGCAGCTGGCGGCTGGCCTGGCCCCACATCTAGCAGCACAGCATGGTCGCTGTGTGGACAGCTCAGCTAGCCATGGGCGTTGTGTGTCCTGTGGGCTCAACAAACCTGTGAGCTGTTGCCAACAAAGCTGGCTGAGCGACCCGCACCAAACGGCCTGCTTCCTGTGAGGAAAAAACTGGCCTGCCAGTAGAGCCCCGGCCACAGAACAGGCGACCTGGGGGAGGGAATGTTCCCTCACTTCTAAGCCGGCTGAAAGAGGGACTGAGTGGGACAGAGGGGATTCTGTGCGGAGACCGCACAACGCTGGCGTCTTGCTCTGGCTTTTCTCTCCAGGCAGCCAGTCTCACGGGAAGTAAGGATGTCCCCGGGTGTCCCCATCACGTTGCCGGAGGACCAGCCAGCTTCCCATTCTCAGCTGGCAGCAGCTGCCAGTGATGGATGTAAAGGGACAGTTGTCCACAAGACTCGGGGAGCTGAGGGGAGACCGGCTCTCCAGGCAGCACCAGACCAAGGCCATCGCAGCCCCACCGGCCGGGTCACTTTCTCCCGGGGCAGAGCCACCAAGGAGGGCCAGGGAGAGCCTGGAACTGTGTCCTGAAGAGGGGGATTTCCTGCTCACCCTTCACACACACAGGAGGGGGTGGCTTTTGCCCGCGGGATATCTTCTGGCCCCAGAAACAGCAGGTGCTGGATTTGCAGCCCTGGCCCTCCAGGCCCCAACGGGGCGACAGTGTGGGGGCCAGCCTGGAGCAGGGCCTTTCCAAGGCAGCTGAATCCAGCTCTCCTCACTCAGACCGACTACCGGGACCCAGAAGGAACTTAGGCTGAAGCTCATTTTATTCTCAAGCTTGTGTCTCAGCAGCAAAGTTGGTGTTTTCTTCCTCTGTTAAAATCTGAGAAAGAAGGCCGGGCGCAGTGGCTCACGCCTATAATTCCATCACTTTGGAAGGCTGAGGCGGGCAGATCACGAGGTCAGGAGATCGAGACCATCCTGGCTAACATGGTGAAACCCCGTCTCTACTAAAAAAATACAAAAAAATGAGCAGGGCGTTGCGGCAGGCGCCTGTAGTCCCAGCTACTCAGGAGGCTGAGGCAGGAGAATGGCATGAACCTGGGAGGCGGAGCTTGCAGTGAGCCCAGATCATGTCACTGCACTCCAGCCTGGGCGACAGAGCAAGACTCCGTCCCAAAAAAAAAAAAAAAAGACTGAGAAAGAATATGGCGTGCTCCACCCTCTTCAAAGCTCTGTGCTTCTGCACTCGTTTTTTGAAGGCCTTAAAAAGGTCACCAGTGTGACCAGGGAGCACCTTCTGCCTCCCTCCCTGCACCGGGACCATAGACACAAACAGCTCTACCTGCAGAGTGGCCCGTCCTGCGGGGCAGGCCTGTGCGCCCCTCACCGGCGCTGTCGTCAGAGTCCAGACTTAGGGCAGAGGAAGGATGTTTGCCTTCAGGACCAGCAAGTCACAGGTGCCCTGGATGTTACCCAAGCTCAAAATCAAATAAAACCCATCAGTATTTAATGCTCTGTGTGTGTGTGTGTGTGTGTGTGTGTGTGAAGGGAAACGGAAAGCAGATAAAAGTCATGTGCCCTCCCCCAGGCATCTGATCTGCCCACCAGACCCTTCAATGGGGACATCTCTGTGGTCCCAGTGGTCGTAAATAAAGGCTAAGCACTGGATTTTTCCACGGCCCCCGATGCCTCAGGAGCACAGGCAGAGGAGGCAAACAGGAGGCCAGGTTACCCAAGAGATGACCAGAAGCTCATCCAGGGCCAGGACCCCAGTTAATCTTGTGAGTTCTTGGCAGTGGCTCCAGGCTGGGCACATTAGATACTGTCGTGTGACTGGCCTGGTAGCCACCTCTTGGTTCTCTGGAAGTGTGTGAGGCCACTCTGTGCTCCGGGAAGAAGGTTGCCGTCCTGACCTGTCAGCCGCCAGGCCCTCTCTGAACTCCTTACTTGACCTGGAGGCTTCAGGAGCAAACCCACAGATCGCCCCTGGTGTCAGTGGTGCAGACAGAGGAAAAGTACAGGGTTCCCAAATGCTACTCCTCCGTGGTGAGACTTTGAAAAGGTGTAGAGTGGTTGCAGACAAACAGCAAAGGAGTGAAATGGAAAAATCTCTCTCGCTCCCCACAAGAAGTCCACTCCCCTCCAGATTCCTCAGATGCCACTGGCTGGCACAGCCTTTCCCGCCCTTGGTGTGGGAGCAGCAGAAATCCAGGGGATAGGAGAATCATCGGGGTCAGGTCAGTGTCTACCTCGTATGAAGTCAACAACTACTTTTCCCTGGAGCCTACCAAAGAGCTAAAGTCTGATCTGTAGTTGTCTGATGGTTTGAGGAGAAAAGATAATCTTTTAGAGAAGTGGGGAGTATCCAACTTAGGGTCAAAATACACTGAGATTAGGCTGGGCACGGTGGCTCACACCTGTAATCCCAGCACTTTGGGAGGCCAAGGCAGGCGGATCACTTGAGGCCTCCAGGAGTTCAAGACCAGCCTGGCCAACATGGCGAAACCCCGTCTCTACTAAAATACAAAAAATTAGCTGGATGTGATAATGTGCACCTGTAATCCCAGCTACTCGAGGAGGCTGAGGCACAAGAATCGCTTGAACCTGGGAGACGGAAGTTGCAGTGAGCCGAGATCATGTCCCTGCACTCCAGCCTGGGCGACAGACAGAGACTCCGTCAAAAAAAAAAAAAAAAAAGTTGAGATTACCAGGTGAGATATGGGTGGTTCTTCCGGGAAAGTGCTGAAAATCTCACCCAGGCCTCGGCACCACACCCTGGGAGAGTCCACTCCTGGGCGCACGCCTCTGCATTCCAACGCTGACAGCTAGAAATATACTTTGTAAAATACCAACAACTTATTCACAAATATTCCAACTATCTACTGGCTCCAATGAGCTTGCTGAGGATGGGTAGGACCAAAGTCTAAGGGGAAAAAATCGAAAACACAAATAAACCTGCTTAAAGGTCAGGTCTCCAGATGGAGATCCAAGCAGATGGCTCCTAAGATTTGCCCCTGAAAACTACCAAGGGAAGCCACAGAGAAGGATATTTGGACCTTCTAGAAAATGGTAAGGCCCCAGGTGGATTATGCTTCCTCTGCCCTGGAGGCTGAGCCACCCCTATGGTTACCTCATATCTTCTGGTGTCTTCTGAGTGGGACTTGATCTCATTTCTGCATTAACAGCAAGGTGAAATTGTCTGGCAAGAGCTTAAATTAGGACCTGTGGTGGGGACTTTAATAGGCAGGTGGAGGTTTGAGATCCAGTTCGCTGCCAGAGATTAGTCAATAGGTGAGGAAAGATTTGACCCAAATCAAAAGAGCTAAAAAATAATAATAATAACATAAAAATAAAAATAACAATAAAAAACCCAGATGAACAAATAAGGTTCATGCAAAAAGAAAAAGAAAAAAGCTATGATAAAATATCAAACTTTTTAATAAAAACAAGTCTGGCCCTGTACTTGGATGACCCCACCTGGCTTGTCTAACCCTAATCCCAGCCCCAGTTTTAATAAAACTGTATTTACAAAATAAGCAGCTGGAATGTGGACCAGAGTTACCAATTTGAATTTTTTTTTAATATTGCATTAAAGTATTACGTCATTTATCTTCATACTGAGTTTTGGGGTATCCCTTTAAATTTTGTATGCAAGGTGAATACCTCACCCCCCTCTTCCTAATCCTGGCCTAGAATCTGGGGGATCCCTCTGACCCTCCCACAGTGCCTGATAGCACAGCCTATGGCTGGTGGTGTGCCTGTTTGCCTATCTTTATCTCTCCAGATACTATTTGGGGTGTGCTGTTCTAAGAAGTGATTAGGTTAGCTTTTGTATATAACAAACTATCTCTGAAACTTAGTGGCTTAAACCAACAAATATATTAGCTTTATAATGATGTGGATCAGTGATGGGGGCTGGGCACAGACAGGCAATTCTTCTGCTGGGCTTGGCTGAACTCAACTGTGTCTTGTGGTCAGAGGGCAGTCAGGGGCTTCACTCATGTCTGGCAGTGGGCTGTTGGCTGAGCCCTTAGTTCTCCTCCAGCTTAGACTCGTTCACATGGTGGCCTCGGGGCTCCCATGGCAGTAAGAGAAATCAAGCCCAAGTCTCATATCCACGTTTGCTATTCTCCCATCGTCCAAAGCAGATCACATGGCCAAGGCACAAGTCTGTGTGAAAGAACGTGGATACAGGGACCCCGAATGAACCAGGGGCAATACTGCTGCAATCTACCACATAGATACTGTTCAGAACTTTGCAGAACTGAATCTTTTAGGGCTGTTTTTCCATTGTGGTATACCCTGTCCATTTAGAACAAATATATTCTTTGGGGCTGCAGTGTGTCAGGATGTGGAGACACAGTCCCACTGGCTTTCAAGTTGCCATCCATCTTGTAGGGAGAATTTCTGGCCTTTTCAGATGGCCACAGTCCAGGCCGGAGCACCAGCCCCAGGTTGAAGCATCAGGCAGGTTTCTAGGAAATGGTTGCAAAATTAACAAAAAGTCAGGCCTACAGAGCCCCATCCAGAGTCATCTCCTTAAGTTGTCTACTAAAGCCTGGGGGTCGATGGGATCTCAGAAGGGGGACTACAGAAATAGGAAACGGGATAGAACCAGGGGGTGAGAAAGAAGAGGGCGGGTGCGGGAGTTTCAGGGAAGGAGGAGGAGGAGGAGGACTAGGGATGCAGGGAGGAGCACTGGGAGTGCAGGGGGAGGACCAATGATGCAAGCTCTGGAACCCAGGGAGGAAAGCAGGGGATGGAGGGCGGTTGCCATGGTCAGGCTGTAGAGGAGATGGGGAAGAAGATAACAGGCTGAGGCCAACTTGAGAGCAGTTTCCTTAGAGCACTGGCCAGAGGTCAGCCTGCACCCGTGCCTGTCAAGGCAGTGAGCTGGTTGCCAAAGGCATTGAGGTCAGAGGGGAGACCGGAGAAGGCAGGAAAGTGGATGGCAGGAGCTCTGAGAAGGGAGGCTGGAGCAACAGCCTCAAAGCTGTGATCCTGAGGGGTGCTGGGGAGCAAGGAGTCCACCAGGCCGTCCTCTGGCCCCTGGGCAGGAGGCAGTGGTGTGTGGCCAGTTTGGGACAGCTCATGGAGCTGATTACTAAGTTTGGGGGGAATTCTTTTTTTTGTTGTTGTTGTTGCTGTTTTTGTTTTGTTTTGTTTTGTTTTTGAGATGGAGTCTCGCTCTGTTGCCCAGGCTGGAGTGCAATGGCACGATCTCGGCTCACTGCAACCTCTGCCTCCCAGGTTCAAGTGATTCTCCTGCCTCAGCCTCCCAAGTAGCTGGGATTACAGGCACGCACCACCATGCCTGGCTAATTTTTGTATTTTTAGTAGAGACAAGGTTTCACCATGTTGGTCAGGCTGGTCTCAAACTCCTGACTTCATGATCCGCCCACCTCAGCCTCCCAAAGTGCTGGGATTACAGGCATGAGCCACCATGCCCGGCCCAGTTTGGGGGAATTCTATGAGCTGCTTTTAAACATAGTCATTACCAAACTTAAGTTATATAAACTTACAGTAAAATAAATTCTATTAAAAACAAAGGGAATAAATAACCAACACATCTTTTCCTAAGGATTTTCCTGCATCCACTGTCCTCTGTCCTGGAGGTTATTCACATCTATTGCATCTGTATGGTGGAAGTATGACAGAATTAACGAAGGCTGCTAGACATCCCTTCCCAATTCTGTATTCAGTGACATCATTTTGGTAGCTTGAAACTGGCCATAGTGGAGGTATTTAAACCACAGAAATTGGCAAGCGCCACAAACCAGAGCTTTAGCCCCCACCTCCAAGAGCCGGTTGTTAAATGTTTACCAGCACACCACTGGCAGAAGCAGTGCAAGACGGTGCAGCCTCGGAGGCAGGATGCTGGGTGGAACAGGAACTAAGTCAGGGAGAGCCGGAGGAAGCAAGGCAGTGTGCATCCCTGAAATGGCAAAGCCAAGGGTGTGTCATGCGTGATGGAGAGGCAGTGGCTGTCTCTGGCCACATCTCTTTCTACAGGTCCTCAGGTCTCACACTGGCCCGAAGTACTTGTGTCAGCTCCCCTTCCAGCATCTGGTCCAGAGCCTCTCCCCGTTTCTGTGATCAGTGGGGGCTTCTTCCAGTTGCCCTGGGTGTCGCTTGGACACCTTCCTGCTTGGCACAGCGTTGCTGCTAACACTGTCACCGTCCCTCTGGGCCTCTGGAAACGTGCCCGCCCCAAGTGTGCACAGGTGTGGAGCTGCTCTTTGTCACCAGTCTTCAGTGATGAGTCACCAGATCCTGGGAGTGAAGAGTTCACTGGATACGTGATAAGTGTGGCCTGGGTCTTAAACAGCCTGGAGTGAGGCGCACTGACCAGGCTGAAGGGGAGGGGAGTACAGGGTGCCGCTCTCTGACCAGCAAGTTTCCAAGTTACGCCAAGCCAGGCCTCAACTCAGGCAGCGCTGTCTTCAAGGGAGAAGCCAGGCAGAGGGTCCCAATGGCTTATAGGCCCTGAGGGGCAGGGCCAGGGACCCCGGGTTTACTGAGGGAAGGTGGGGTAGAGGTTGGATAAAGTACCTCAGTCAAAATCAAGAAGAGTGGGGCTGAAGGGCTGGGGCCTGGAGTCGGGAGGCCATTACCATTGCCATTCCCAGCCAAAGGCCAGTCTTTTTTTTTTTTTCTTTTGAGACAGTCTTGCTACGTTGCCCAGGCTGTCGTTAATTGATCCTCCTTCAAGGCCTCCCAAAGTGCTGGAATTAAAGGCACGTGCCAGCATGCCCAGCCAAAGGCCAGTCTTTCAGGCCCCGTGATTAGAATGTGTGCACAGCTTGCAGGGCGCGGTGGCTCACGCCTGTACTCCCAGCACTTTGGGAGGCCGAGGTGGGCAGATCACGAGGTTAGAAGTTCGAGACCAGCCTGGCCAACATGGTGAAACCCTGTCTCTATCAAAAACACAAAAATTAGCCGGGCATGGTGGCACGCGCCTGTAATCCCAGCTCCTCAGGAGGCTTGAGGCAGGAGAATTGCTTGAACCCAGGAGATGGAAGTTGCAGTGAGCCAAGATTGTGCCACTGCACCCCAGCCTAAGCGACAGAGAGAAAAAAGAATGTGTGCACAGCATCCGGGGAGGCCCTTGGCCCCAGGATCTGAGGATAGGCCAATGGCTCAGCCTGGCCTCGGGCATCCCACCTGGGCCCTGTTGGTATCACTGCCCTGGGGCTGTGTGGCAAAACAACAAGGAGGTGGCTGCTGTGCACTGAGCACCCTGGACAAGGCCCAGGGAGGCTGCAGCAGAGACGGGGGGTGGGGGAGGGAGGCTGGGGAAGAGGGAAATCAGCATCCCTGGGAGACCCCAGTGGCAGCCAAGACTCTGAAAAGGGCATGAAATAGTGGTCAGGTGGAAAAATGTGAAAACCAAGCCAAAAAGGAGAGAAGGTTCAGATTTTGTGAAACCCCCTCCCCCGGGGACCCTGTAAATAGTAACAGGGAGGAGACCTGGCTCTCTGACTCACTGCTATTGCTGTGCCACATGAGTGCACATGAGTGGGCAAGGCTGCTGGGGTACCAGGAGACCCCAGGACCAACACCCCATCCTAGGAAAGGAGGCAGAGTCGGGCAGGGCGAGGCTACTCTGGGGTGAGGCCAAGGCCCAGGCAGCTGGAGGTTCGTTGTTCTCATGGCTGAGAGGAAGAATGGAGGGAGTGGCCACTGTCAATACAAGGATCTCAAGGACAATTAATTCCTGAGTCAGGCTGACTAGAGCCAACAAGGGGAGCCACGATCAACGATGCCGCTTCCAGAGGATGGGTGGAGAGTGGCATCGCACAACACCTGGAACTCGGTCTTCAGGGCATCCTGGTGCTCTGCTGAGCCCATGAGGGTTGTCTGGTGTCGCTACGGTGCTGCCGGGCCGGGGTGAGGGTTGAGCGGGCCTCCCTCCAGGCAGAGGCTTCCCCTCTGCACTCTTGCCATGTGGTCCACATGGGAACTGCCTGACTGCCCTGGTCGGGAGCAGATGGGGCCCCCCACTTTCCGTTTCAAAGACAAAGCTGAGATGAGAGCTGCTGGTGGCTGGGCCTCCATCTCTGGAGGAAGCCATGGTACAGGAGGAGAGACAGAGCCGCTATTCAGGAAGAGGCAGAGGGGCCGATCGCCCGGTGGAATCTGGTTGTTTCCAGCAACACCCGGCCCTGCTCAGCTTATCTGAGCCAATAAATCCCTGCCTTTAAAATAAAAAAGATACTTCAGGTTGGGTGTTGCTAGGAATCCAAAGGTTTATAACCAAAACACTGACCCTGGTCACTCAGACGTGGGATTGCTGCTAGAGTTTTATGTGCCTCATTGCTCCCACCTTCATTCAAAACCCACCTTCAAGCCCAGTGTAACTCCGGTCCTTAAATTTTTAATTGTGAA